AGGAGGAGATTGGGTATATATATATTTTTTAAATATATATATTTTATATATATATTGGTTTACATACAAAAGTCGTATACATTGTGTTTCATTGATATATATTGTGTTTCGTGCATTCCTCCATTCACACTGTCTTCCACATTATCATTCCCATACCTTGTGTTTCATAAAATTAATCACCTTTGATCCATGTCCATCATTACCCCACCTTTTCAGGTTTCCACTGGATCCTTCCTAATTCCTTCATACCCCTCGCTCTGTCCACTGAACAATGCAACCTAGAGATTTCTTCTCCTCCCTACCCTTAGCCTGCTTCCTCCCTTCCCTTCTCCCTTTGGACTTTGGTACACATCATACTGTTAATCCTTCTATTTTCACAATACGGGTCTTACGTATGAAGTATTTGTTCTTATAAGACTGAGTTAGTTCACTTAAAGAGTTAATGGAGGTCAGGCACCACAACCCCTGTACAAAAAGCTCTTTTTTCACAAGGCTTTAGGAAATACTACATAATTTTTATTCTGGTGGTAGGTAGGAAACAATATATGGGTGTCAGAGTTTTTAAAATTACATACTTGTAATGAGTGAATTTTACTGTATGAAAATTACATACCAAATAATTTGACATAAACAATTATATACACGAGCTGTTCAACAATTCATACCACAAAAGAATTTCCTTCCTTCTCAATATCTAAAGAGGTCTGAGAAATCTATAAGCAAAAGATTGTTTTTAAAGACATGTGAATGATTTTTAAAATTTTTTTCACATGACCACAAAAAGTACTTGAGTACAAAACATATAAAGAACTTTAACAGATCCACCTGAAATATGTAAATAGAATCCTATAGATTACATTGTTTATCTTTTTCTTTAGTTCAAGGTTATGTTTAATAAGATTCATCCACAAAGTACATTTCAGAGAAAGATGTGTTTTTTTTAACTAGAGAAAAAAACATTCAAGCTTGAAGAGGCAGGCAGGTCTGGTAGGAGAGAGGTTTTGGGTTAGGCGGAAAGATTAGGAAAACTGGGCTGAGCATAGGAGGGGTGTGACAAATTAATTGAACGAGCAAGCAGTGAAGGAGGCAAGGCTCAGAGGAAGGGACGGGCTGGGACGTGGCTGGGAGGGGGGTGGGACTTGGTAGGGGATCTGGCGGGGTGGCGCCCAAAGCCGCGATCTGAGATCTTAACCCGCTCAGAATACAGAAGAGGTGAGGGGGATTGCAGCCATGCTGGCGGCGCTGGGCTCCCTGGCTGCTGCCCTCTGGGCCAGGATCCATTTCCAGACTCTCCTGCTGGGCGCCTTTGCCTTTCTATTCTTTGTTGAATTCCTTAAAAGGCGTCGCCCAAAGAACTACCCACCCGGGCCCCCAAGACTGCCTTTCTTTGGAAACATCTTTCAGATGGACTTTGAACAGCCGCACCTGGCGATTCAGCCGGTAAGAGTAACCAAGTTTCCTGGACACAGGGGTATTCCTGGGAAGTGGGGGGTAAATGAAGGAGTGACGCTCAGGCTGGGCTTTTAAGTTCAAAAGAAGTGGTTGAGAACCTGCCCGACAGCCTTCATAACAATTACAGCCTGGGAAATACCAAATTGGATTTTTCTGGTTTGGGTGATTCGGATGCTAAATTTTAGCGCACAGAGTAAATCCCAAGTAGTGGTGTTGTTCTTATGTAGTGTTGATTCAGAACTTACTCATAACTGATCCTCCAGTGGGTTTTCAAAGGCAGTAAATCCAAGGGAAGAGGTTATCCATCTTTCTCCTGTTTAGTCATTGGTGGCATCAAACCATGTACCTTTGGACTGGCAGAGCAAGTCCTTACTAATAAGCCACGAGAGCATAAGGCCCTATTTTCTTTACCAGCCAGGTGGCTTGGCTCTATCTGCTCTTTATAAAACGAGCAGGAGGGGAAATTAAGGTTTCATTAATAATCTTATCATTAAATAGTACTAGAATTATTATGTTCTTTAATTGACTGAAATCAGTTCTGTTGTTAACTCATTGCTGTTATGTCAGAACCAGCTTATAGCTGACCCTACAATGGATTTCTTGGTTTTTTTAGGTTTGAAGTAATTTTATTTTATTTGATTGGACTGGTGTATGCATAGCTACCTATTTGTAGGACATTGTTGTTGTTGTGTACCATTGAGTCAAAACCGGCTCATAGCTGACCCTCTCCCGGGATTACAGCACAGCTAATTGCGTTTAGGCACGAGAGCTCCCTAATCCTTCTTTCTAGTCTTACTTTGAGAGGCTCTCTTTAGCACAATCTCTGACAGACAAGTGGTTACCCAAAAGAGCTAATGAAAGACAAGCAAATATAGACATATCTAAGCTATTAAGAACATCAACATGTAAGGATACTTCCCCAGTACAAAAACTGACAGATAAATTTGGCAATTTGGTAGCTGTCCTCCAAATTTTTTGGCATAAACTGATAAGCACATCTAGGGCTGTATCTGTTAGTTAAAACACATCAATTGATATTTCATTGATTCCTGGGGCCTTATTTTTTCCAGTACTATCAATGCAGCTTGAACTTCATCCTTTATCATCATTGGCTCTTGTTTATATGGTGGAGACTGTTGTTATGTGCCATCGAGTTGTTGGTGACTCATAGTGACCCTATGTACAACAGCTCTGAACCCTGCCCCGTCTTGAGCCAGTGTCACTGACTCTGTCACACCTACCCCGTTATCCCAGTTGCTGTATCAATCTCACTCAAGCAGGATCATCTTCTCCTGTGATGTCCCTCTACCCTTCCAAACATGATGCTCTTCTTCAAGGACCGGTCTCCTCCTGGTCACGTACACAAAGCTTGTGAGATGGAGCTTCAGAATCCTAGCCTCCAAGGAGAATCTTGGTTTCCCCCCCTCCAAGACAGAGTTACTTTTTTGTGTGTGTGTGGCCCATGATATGTTCAAGACTCTTCTCCAGCACCACAACTTGAAGGCATTGATTCTTCTGTCATCCTTAGTCATTGTCCAGCTCTTTGATTCATTGCAAGTAGTTGTGAAGACCATGGCCTGGATCAGGAGTACCTTAGTCTCTAGACTGACATAGTTGCTTCTCAGTACTCTGGAAAGGTCTCTGACAGCATATTTTTCCCAATGAATGCTATTTGTCTTTTGATTTCCTGACTGCTGGTGCCAAGAGTGTTGATTGTGGAGCTGAGCAAGCTGTAATTGTTAACAACCTCAATCTCTTCTCTACCTATTATGGTGCTGCCAGTTAGCTGAGTGGGGAGAATCTTTGTCTTCTTGATGTTGAACTTCAATCTATATTGAAGACTACCTTCCTTGACCTACTACAACAAGTGCTTCAGGTTCTCCCCAGTTTCAGCAAACAAGTTTGTGTCATCTGCATAACACAGGTTGTTGATGAATCTTCCTCCAATTCTGATGCTAGATTCCTCCTCATAAAGACCAGCCTCCCAAATGGTCTGATCCTTATACAGATTTAAAAGGTATGGAGGCACTATACATGCCTGGCATACCCTTTTCCTGATTTTGAACCGTGCAGTGTTTCCTTGCTCTGTTCTGACTACTGCTTCCTGGTCCGAGTATAGTTTTCACTTAACCACAATCAGGTGTTCTAGGATTCCCATTCTCCTCAAGGTTAGCCTGAGTTTGTTGTGATCCACGTGGTCAAATGCCTCTCATAGTCAATGAAACACTGATAGACATTCCCCTTAGTATGCTTTGCTTTCGGTCAAGATACATCTGACCTCCAGTAACACAACCTCTTCTAAATCCATCTTGTATCTGGTAGTTCTCTGTCGATGTTCAAGTTGGTTTTGGATAATCTTCAACAGCATTTTGCTTGCGTGTGATATTAGTGCAATTGTTCGATAATTTCCACACTCTGTCAGTCACTCTTTTTTGGAATGGGAATAAATATGGATGTCTTCCAGTCAGTTGGCCAGGTGGTTGCCCTCCAAATTTCTTGGCACAAGCAACTTGACGGCACATAACAAGAACAACAACATTTGCTCTGGGAAGGGCGTACACCAGGGATGCATCCTATCTCCATACCTTTTCAACCTATATGCAGAACAGATTATCCGGGAGGCTGGGCTCTATGAGGAG